GCATCTCTATATCTCGTAACGCTTTTGTGGCGTTTTTAGTATCGTGTCAATTAGTGTGTTTAGATATATATGGACGGTGTTATGACACACTTTATAACGTGTCTAGACGCTATTGACGATTAAAAGCATGTCTAACACTGTGTCATTTTGATACATTTCCAAAATCGTCTCGAGAAGTGTCTTTACATGTCTTGTAACAGTGAAAGCGTGTCAAATGTCGTATCCAGTTGACACGTTTCCAAAGTCGTGCTTAGAAGCGTCGTTATGTGCCCATGTACATACGCTTTCAACCAGCGTCACAAAGAAAATGTGTCTAGAGGGGGGTGTTTCTTGTAGTGTTGGCTGCTCCTCCCATTGGTAGGTACCATCTGCCTTCTTTTTTCCCCTGGCATTTCCAGTTGCTGGGATGCTCTCAATTGCCATGGCCATCATCAGACTTCTTTGTAACACCCCTGGTGTTACGAGCTCGCTTAGCACCTAGATTAAGGCTTAAAAGAAATTAACACACCAAGTTCTCGAGTTTTAGAATTTTAAATGCACATGAAATGATAAACGAATCGTATGTGATTTCACCTTGTGGCTGAGAAAAATCAAAATAGGTATTGTAAGTTAGTTTACATAATGCGTAAATGTGCTAATGAAAATTCTAGCAAGAAAAGTAGAATAAATAGTTTTAATCGTTTGGCACGGAAAACAATTTCTATAAGAAAAATAAAATATCACTTGTAATTAGAACTTAAATAAAAATTAGGAGTTAATCATGTTAAGACTTAAAAAAAATAAATGGGAATGAGAGTGTTAGGTGGAGAAAATATTTTTATACGTACCCTGCTGTGAATCAGTCATTTGATTTATGGCGTCGTGTCGTGTTGCTCTGTGTCAAATTGTCCTCATCGGCCTACGTTGTTTCGTCATGCTCTTGTCATTGCCGCAGCTCCGGGGTCTGCCTCAGTGTTCCGCCAAGCTGAGCCGTCTCGTCCTTGTTTCGGTTGTCTCGGTGTGACTCTGTTTCTCTGCTCCCCTTTTTGCAAATCCTTGTCGTATACGCCGTCAATGCAGCCGTCGCCTCAACGCCATCGCCTCTCGCTGTTTCACGCTGTGCAGTCCCGGTAGCCCACGCCCTGCCCTCGTGCGCATGTCTGCCTCGGTCTCCAATTTCTCTTTCGAGCCGAGCACCAGCTTTGGCTGCGTCTGGCGTCGTCGTTTTCTCCGGCGCTTTTTCTCCCTCCCTTTTTCTTCTCTGCTGCGCCGAGGAGGGAGCGCCCCAGCCCAGGAACTCCACTGCCCCGCCGTTCTGGTTCTGCCGAGCTTCGTGCGCGCGCGCCCCCTGTCCTCGCCGTGTCCGGTCCGCAGTCGCAGCGCCTCCCACCGCACTCGGCTCTCCCTTCCGCGTCCGAGATGCGAAGTACTTCCCCGCTCCCCGGTCCCGCGCTGGACCCGTGGTTCCTCGGCCGTCACCGTAGCCGCCCCTTCCCGCCCATTCGCGCCGCGCTGGGCTTGCTGCTCAGCAGCGCCGCTCCTTCGGTTCCCCTGCGTGCCCGCGCCCATCCCTTTTCCCCTCCTCGCGCGCGCAAGGCCACAGCAACCCCTCCACGGCTCCGTCCGTCGATTCCAGCCTCCCCCGCTGCTCTGCTCACGGCGTCGCTTCTCCCTGGTGCTCCTCCACCGAGCCTCGGAGGCACCGTCTCGGTCACCTCGCGTGGGAGCGCTGTGCGCGAGCGCCTTTCGGCCCGCTGCCGCTGAGGCGCCCTCGATTCGCGCTGCTCGCCCGCTGCCCCGTAGCGCCGCTCCATTCTCATGTCCCGCGCGCCTGGTTCGCCGGTGCCTAGGAGTCCGGTCTCGCCCGCCGCAGCCACAGCGCCAAGCCGTGGGGCCGTCCCACCCTCGCTGGCCATCGCGGCCACAGCGACTCCATTGTCGGCCGAAGCTCCTCAGCTTCCCTGCTCCGAGAGCTCCGTTCCTGGAATGGGAAAGCAAGGTGAGGAGGATAGAAGTCCAAGCTGGAAATTTATACGGAGCCTTTACTGCGAATACGTGAGCTATCGGAATAGTACTGATTGTACTGCGACGTGATTTAGTAGAAGCTCAGGGATCGTTTTGCAAATATTCCGCGCCATCAGCCACCTGGGCCGTCCATGCCACTACCGCGCGTGGGCCGCCGTCTCCGCCGCTTGGGCCGACCGGTTGCCGCACCTGTGAGCCGCCTAGACGGCCTGCTTCTGTGCTGCTGGCCTGGCCGCGCCGCTGGGCCACGCCCCGCCTGGGCCTGCCTGCTGCTGGGCCACCGCTGCGCTCACGCCCGCGCTGTTTGGGCCAAACCCGCCTGCGCTGGGCCGGCCGTTGGCCGCCGCGCCTGGCCAGCAGGCCGCGCACGCGCCTACGGGCCAAGCCAGCTTGACTGCCGTGGGCCGCGATATTATTTCCTATTTTCCAGTAAATTAGAGTAGGTTTTCTAATATAAATTCTGAGTGGATTTTGTTATTTAAATATAAAATTATGTAGGTATCCAAAAATGGTGAAACCAGTTTTGTTGAGTCTCTAAAATCATGATCTACCTGTTAGTATATTTTGTTCACATAGTTTGATAATATTCTTAGGAAGCTATATAATTAATTAGAGATAATTAATATTATAAAATATAAACTTGTAGGAATTTTCGGGATAAATCGGTAATAGTGTTGACTCTAAAAATTTGTCAGTAAACTACTAATATTATTATCTACTCACTGTAATTTTTGTAGCTCAATAATAATTAGTTGCTAGGTAGATAATGATGCTCTATTTCGAATAACGATTAAATCGATAGAGTGAAATAAAGAAACACCTTGGGTTATATAACTAAAATTATTGTTGGGAAATAACGCCTTATCCGACAACGTGTATATGTAGCCTAAGTACGGTCATCGTTAGAACTGGCATGTTAACTCGAGAGGCGTACGTCGTATTTTACGAGTCACGATTGTAGTTGATTAATTATATCTTTGTATTGCATCGCATTGCATATCATATAGGTACGATGATGGATCAACGGATCAACTAAAAGATGGTTGGGAATTCGAAGATGGTGTAATGGTATTCTCTCCAAAGATGATGCAATGTGCTTTCTATCTAGTTGATGGTGGATGATCTGAAGATGCAAATACTAACTTTTGGTTATATTTTATCCAGACAAGCCCCGGTGCATAACCCATACTTTTCTACAATTTAAATTATATTTGTGCATTAAGTTCTCAGGAGTTGATTGAAACCCACTTGCATATACATATCTTTATCCTATGAGTCTTACTAGTATGACAGGATCATGTAGATTGCTATGCTACAGGACTCTGATAGAAGTCGAGTGATTGCCCGTCACTCGCGAGATATAGGAAATATGTTACTATATTATTATTACTTGGAAAAATATAAATGGTGGAAAGGAAAATGGTGACCGGACAGGGATATGGTTTGGGTATTGGTGGGTGTAAGAAGTTGTGTCGTCGTGGACGCGGGGCATGGCTTAGTTACACTGCTTTCCCTGTCCATGTCGATTAAGGACTGATCGTTGCATATGACTCTAGACAGGTCACAGACTTATTATCCCGAGCACATACTTGTGTATGAGCGCTTGGAAGACTTGTTGCTCTCTTGTCGCGGATCCGGCTCTTTCTGGATCGACTGTTAGGGTTTCTTTTTTGTGGAGGAGGTCCTTGCACCGCACTGAGTTCGGGACTCAGGGGCGGGGTCTTGGAGTCCCAGTTTGGACGGGGACCTAGACACCCGGGACAGGAGGGTGATGGGTTGGTCCTGCTTATGCCTGGGGTACAAGCGGGAGGTGTGTTTTCGGGGTACCCAGCTGGGGGCATTGATTCGTGAATCGCCGGACGATCCGGTACGGCTTGTCTACGGTTTAGCATCGTAGTAAGAATTGAAGACGAAAGATGAAAGATGGATAAAGGAAATCTGATTGCTTACCACCTACTTGAAAGTAGTATAGGTGGTTACATAGAATGGTTAGTTAATGAACCAATGTGGCTATTAATAAAAATCAAATATAAGGACGCACACTTAGTAATGCTTCCTGCAAATGCAACCCACAAGCCAGATAGCCTTGCATATCCTTGGAGTTTTTTCTTTTCTCCTGTCGGGTAAGTTTTATTGAGTACAATTGAGTACTCAGGGTTTTATTCCCCCTGTTACAGGTGACAGGTGGATGCTAAAGCTGACCCTTGTGTGTGGATTCCTCCTGGTGGGCTCAGCGAGGATTCCCTTACGCTGCGATCGTAGTCTTTATTTACAACTCTCACCAAATGTTTTTATAAATGAAAATTGATAATCTGTTGTCATAGTTGTTATATATCAATACTTTATCATGTCATTAATAGATGTTTATTTCCGCTGTAACTCTGTCACATGTTTATATTCCGCTGTTCAACTAAATTATTCATAACTCTGATAATATGATTACCTCCCGCTCTTATAATGATAAATGCTATACTCTGATGTTGTACTAAAAGTGATGTAAGAAATGGTTAAGAATGTTGTAAGCTTTATTCTCTCATTTGTGATCCTGATGGCGAAAATGTGAATTTTCGGGTTCTCCCCTGAGGTGTGCCCAACGGAACCGTGCAATTTAGTGTTCTCCCTTGAGTGCTTAGAGTCTAATGGAAGACAAGCACTCCTGTGAGGCATTAGATTAGGCGGTTCTGCCACATTCTTCTCCCAGGCACCATCACCTCCATTTCCTTTTCTTTGTCCCATGTATTTTTGATTTGCCCCATGGGTCATTTTTATTTGATGCCTCAGGAGTACTGGACTTCTCCCCATGGGACATTTTAAAGCATGGTTTGGTCAGCCAGAAATCATGATCCAAGTTGGTTGATTTGGCTAACTGAATTGCAAAACTATGTTCAATTGTGGTTGTGAAAATGTAGAATTCACTAATTTATCAGTTTGTGGTACTTTTGGAAAAGTACCGTGGCACTATAAGTGAGGTAGCAGTAGCAACCTTCAATGTCTGCATGGGTGGCGGCCCGAGGTTTAAGCGGGTTTGTGATCGGGGGAGCCATGTCGTCCTGCAGTTCCTCAATGAGAAGTTCAAGGAGACAGTGCACAAGTGAGTACTCGCCATGATCATGAATGGGGTTTTTGGAGCCTTGCTTTGCTGGGTGAGCTGGGGTTTCTGATGCTTTTTGCGGTTGCTCGTGCAGGCTGGAGCAGGAGCCGGGCTTCTACTTCAACATGAAGCACTTCGAGGACCTCGTGCAGGGCGGCGAGTGGGACGAGGTGGAGAGGTACCTCAGCGGCTTCACCAAGCTGGAGGACAACCGCTACTCCATGAAGATCTTCTTTGACATCCGCAAGCAGAAGTACCTCGAGGCCCTTGATAGGCTCTAATCTGTTAGCTTTAGTTTTAGCTATAATATGACTCAACGATGCATGCTGGTATTTTACTCATCTTGACTGAGACTTGAACAGTTGAGATGAGATGGTAATGCTTTTGAATGTATTGATGCTGGACCATTTGGACATCATCTATATGTAGCCTGGATACCATTAATGAATGTGCTGAACATTTAGATCTTTATATGTATGCTATTTATTATGTTGTGATGAAATTACAGTATGAACAATCTCGGGCTTTTCTTTTTTTTCCTATGAGGATCAACGCACACAATATTTAAATTTAATCTTGGCTAACGCAATTTTTCTGTGCGTGTAACACCCACAGAAAAATTGTTTCTGACGACGAACACATAGAACAATTGAATTTTTCTGTCATTATATTTCTGTGGGTATTTTTCTGATGGTACACCGTCAAAAAAATATTTTTCTGACGATATTCGTATTTTTCTATGTGTTTTCGCACATACAGAAAAATGTGAGATTCCAGTAGTGACAATGCCCCATAACTTAACGAGGTCCATCTTCCGTATACCGCAGTGCCGTTAACCTAGAGCCACAACCGTTGATTGTTAGACCCGTGCTTCCAAACATGGCATGAGGTGAGAATGTAGCGCTACCCTTGACTTGGCGTGCAACGGGTCTGGGCATTAGCCTATCCCCTCTTAAGCCTGAGATCATTTTTCCAAGAGTGGCATCCATCCAGCTATCCTATATGTAATGACGGTGGTGGCAGCTAGATTACTCTGAAAGTGACAGAGGTGACAGCCAAAGTTTTGAGTCCATCAACTGTGGACTGTGTGATCGTGGGGCTAAGCAGCGGAGGACTGATTGATCGCAATCACAATCGTTGCGGCCACTCCACTGCCCAAGCTAACTATCTATAGTCGCATTTCCATTAAATGGGTTCCTATAGCTGTAACATCAGCTCCAACGTTTTTGCCACAAAGTTTTGTCTGTGGATCATCGACTCAACAGCACGCACGGTCCCTAGCTATCCTCGCGGGCTCACGGCGGGCCACACGTGGACGTGGGTCGCCGGAAAGCCCCTTGCCTTGCACCGCCGGCTGCCGGGTCATTTTCCTCGACCGCGTCCGTGTTCATAGCGAGCTTCAATTCCTAGTTCCATAGTCATAGGCAGGGCAGCGGTACAGTGGTGGGCTGCTTGCCCCTGGAAAAGGTGGCGCTCGTGTGCCGCCGATGGGATGGATCCATCGGATGATGAGGCCAAGGCCATCACGTACGTGGACTAAGTGGACAACCATGAACCATCCACCAATGGTCCCTGCCTCTCCCAGCTTGGCTCCGCAGGACCATACGAGTGTGGGTGTGGGCGGTAGCCGGTCCGGCACACAGTTGTCGACCAGCTACGCTGCGTGCCACACGAGCATACGAACACGACTAACGCATGCATTCGCCAATTGGGGCTGTACTATATCAGCGACCATATTTGCATACCACTATGGCAAGAACATCTAATCATAAATCCAGCTGAAGCACCGGGGTGTTGCTAGCTATAGCTAGCACCACATTCACGTGGTCATGCATAAGGGGAGGTGGCCACACTAGTAGAAAACATACATTTTTGTCTCGGCACCATTTTCAGAGTTACTCCTGATATTTTTTGAATCCGGGAGTGAAGGAGATTTAATCCCGGCTATACCCTTGAGCCGGGAGTAAAGGTCGCTGCCCAACGCTGCTGGCTCGGCAGGCAAACATTTAGTCCCGGTTAGAGGCTATAACCAGGACTAAAGATCGACATTTAGTCCCGGCTAGAGCAACTAACCGGGACTAAATGTTTAGTCCCGGCTGGAGGCTTTAGACGGGAATAAATATTGCTCTTTGTTCCTGGTTATAACCTCTAACCGGGAATAAAGCTTCCTGACAATAGTTATTAAAAAAACAAATAGTTTAAGTTTATTAGTTTCATTTATATTCTTTTCTTAAGTATACTTTGATTTTTAGAGTCTTTTGTTGAAAAAATAGTTTTAGATTTTAGGGGAAAATTATAATTTTCACACATAAGTTTTTAAGTTTTATTTTACCGTATTTTGACGCAAAATTCTAGTGTTTTCAATCTATAATTCAACGTATTTCGTCTCACGCGGCACAAAGAAAAATGTAATAATAAAAATAATTATCAGAAAAACCTAAGATCTTGTGTGGGTCCATATTTTGGGGGTAAATGACTGCCAAAAAAATTTCAAGTCATTTCGACCTAGGCGGAGTCGACGTACTTCACAGAGATATATAGAACTTTTCGTCGAACCCTATCTATACACCTAAGTTCTCTGGTATTCTGAGGTCCATGTGCTTTCCAGTTTCGGATTGGTCTCAAACTTTTCTCAAGACTGCAAATGCCCTGTGTGAGGCCACCGCCAAATTTGATATTTTTCTGAGCTGGTTTGGTGCTTTTTGCACTCTAATTGAATTTCCGCGCGAATTCACCGATTAATTATACGTTGAACTGAGTCCACCCCCGAAAAGATCCGGAATGGTGCCAAACTTTGCCAAATGGTCTCTTGTGCCCTAGGTGACAAATCTCTGTGGAGGTCGACGCAAAATTCTAGTGTTTTCAATCTATAATTCACCATATTTCGTCTCACGCAGAACAAAGAAAAATGTAATAATAAAAATAATTATCTGGAAAACCTAAGATCTTGTGTGGGCCCATATTTTGGGGGTAAATGACTGCAAAAAAAATTTCAAGCCATTTTGACATAGGCGGAGTCGACGTGCTTCACAGAGATATATAGAACCTTTCGTCCAAACCTATTTATACACCTAGGTTCTCTGGGATTCTGAGGTTCATGTGCTTTCTAGTGCTGGATTGGTCTCAAACTTTTTCTCAAGACTACAAATGCCCTGTGTGAGGCCACCGCCAAGTTTGAGATTTTTCTGAGCCGGCTTGGTGCTTTTGCACTTTAATTGAATTTCCGCGTGAATTCACCGATTAATTATACGTTGAACTAAGTCCACCCCGAAAAGATCCGGAATGGTGCCAAACTTTGCCAAATGATCTCTTGTGCCCTAGGTGACAAATCTCCGTGGAGGTCGACGCAAAATTCTAGTATTTTCAATCTATAATTCACCGTATTTCGTCTCACACGGCACAAAGAAAAATGTAATAATAAAACTAATTAACAGAAAAACCTAAGATCTTGTGTGGGCCCATATTTTGTTGGTAAATGACTGTCAAAAAAATTTCAAGCCATTTCGACATAGGCGGAGTCGACGTGCTTCACAGAGGTATATAGAACCATTCATCGAACCCTATCTATATACCTAGGTTCTCTGGGATTCTGAGGTCCATGTGTTTTCCAGTGCCGGATTGGTCTCAAACTTTTTCTCAAGAATGCAAATGCCCTGTGTGAGGCCACCGCCAAGTTTGAGATTTTTCTGAGCTGGTTTGATGCTTTTTGCACTTTAATTGAATTTCCACACGAATTCACCGATTAATTATACAATTATTGACGAACAACTTAAAGATTTACGTTAAAATGATGTGAAAACAAATTTCATGTCGAAAACCAATAGATTTAATTATTTTAATTAAAGTCTATATTTTTGCATTAACGAAAATAGTGATTATTAGTTGCATTATGTTCAATATTTATAATTAAAAAGACAATAGTTTAGGTCACATATTTTTCTTGTGTGCAGTAAATCAAAATAAATTTTATTACTTTTTAAAAAAAATATTATGCCTAGTATTTAATTTACTAAGCAAATAATAATAATTTAACATTTAAATAAAAAGAAATATATATATATAATACACTAACCAACCAAAAAACTGGCGCAAAGTGAATTTTCTAGCCCCCTTTAGTCCCGGCTTCCATCACGGCCCGGGACGAAAGGTGGGCTGCATTTGGCGGCCCGCCAAAAATTACCTTTAGTCCCAACTAGTGGTTGGAGCCAGGACTAAAGGACCTTTAGTCCCGGCTGGTTATTGGAGCCGGGACTAAAGGTGGACCTTTAGTCCCGGCTGGTGGTTGGAGCCTGGACTAAAGGTGACCTTCAGTCCCGGGCAGTGTTAGGAGCCGGGACTAAAGGTCCCTCTCCTATATACGCCAGCTCCCTTCTCTTCCTCCTCTCACTTCTCATCTTCGACTTCATCGTCATCAGCGAGCCGCGCCGCCGCCAACCACCGCCGATTCGGCTCCCCGTCACCAGATCGTGGATCCCGGCCACCCCGACGCCGCCCTCCTCACCGGAGGAGCCCCCGACACCACGCCCGTCACCGGAGGAGCCCCCGAGACGACGCCCCACGCGCGCCGCCTCTCACCACGCCCCCCACTCCGGCCTACACGCGCCACCAGCCTCCCCATCGACGGCACCCCCCCGCAGGCACTCCACGATGTCGGTGCGCGCCTCCCCACCGACGATGCCCCCCGCGGGCACTCCACGACGCCCGCGTGCCACCTCTTGCCAGCATCTGCACGACGACCCTGTCTTGCGCGCCTCCTCCCGCTGCCCACGCCCCCACCTCCCACCTCCCACCAGCCCTCCCCTCCCGACGGTGGCCCCATGAGCACACTCCCACGCGACGCCCTCGCCTCGCCTCCCCGACCCACCGCAAGCTGGCCGCCCCGCACAGGCACCACCGCCCTCGGCCATCAATAAGTATATAATTATTTATAAATTTTATTTTTTATATATATGAAATGTATATGGAAGTATATGAAATTATATGTATGAAATGTATAAATTTATGTTATATATAATGGTATATATAATACTAAATTTTATTTTATATGTTTGAAATTATATGTATGAAATGTATAAATTTATAAGTATAATACTAATTAAATTTGATTTTATATGTATGAAATTATAATAATGGGTTATATATATATATATATGAAATGTATAAATTTATATTTATATCTATGAAATGTGTATGAAATTATATGGCTAAACCCTAAACCACCCTATATATATGTAATCCATTAAAATTATATATATGACATGTATAATTTTTACTTAGGAAA